TATACATATATATATATACATACACGACTAGATACACTTATTAATAAATCATTAATGTTAAGAAATGTAAATTAATAGTATAAAAAAGTTTTAAAAGCCTATATATTGTACAGATACAAAGCAGTTTACGTTTAATTATTTTTAAATATTGTTTTTTACATAAGTACTAGACAAAAATATATAATATTAACTATGAATGTAGAAAATTATTAATGATAATGATGAATAATAATATTATAAAACTATCCACGCGTACATGTGTGCGTATGCATATTAAAAGAATGAAGTATCCATAATTATTGTATATAGTGTAAAAGAGAAGCTGGTCTTGTAAGATAAATGATATGGTGTTTTAATGTGCACATAGCCGCGTCATTGTCAATAATTATAATATGATTAATATTACAATTTTTAAAAAAAATGAAGTGCATTTATTTAATTCCAAATCTATTCAAAACTCACTATATAAGATCTATAAAATGATAAAATGTGTAAAACAGCGACTAAATTATGAAATTTTCAAAGAATTGTTTGGCATTAATCGCATAACTAGAGTTACCATTTTTCATACAATATTTGATATTTGATAATATACTGGATCATTTGCATACGTCCTTTTGCACATAGTTATTAAAAAAAAATCTACTCAGGCTATATTATTTTTTAGGGCCTCAAGCACGAAATAATAAGAGATTTTTTATTTCAAAAGTGATCAAACTAATACGTGTATGTTTTAATTTATAAAACGTTTATTTTTTCAAATGTTATCACAAAATTTGTCATCCCATTTTTTAAAACTTTACTTTTCTTTGGGTAAATATGGGGTCCAATTTCTCAAAACTCCTAGTGCCTCACGAAACGGCGTTTTTGAGCGATATTGCTCAATTTATAACTCGCTCTAAAAGTAGCTAAATGAACCTGGAAAAATAATGAATTAATGGTTACGATAGGGAATTTGCTCAGCTTTATAATGGAGAGGTCAAATTTTTCGAAATTTTCCATTTCCACCTCGAAAAATTCAAGTCAATTTTCAAACTCAAATATCTCAAAATAAGGAGGTTTTCAAAGTGTGCAACTAATCATTTCTATGAGAGATAAGAGAAAACAAAGTCGGCGCTCGGCCGCCCGGCTGCGTGAATTTCAGTCTTGCGCGACTTACTGTATTATAAATCGCACGTATGACCTTGTCATTTGATTCTAAACAATTTCTTGGGACATTTCTGAAATCGGAAACGACAAGTTTTTCATATTTGAAGCAATTCACACCAAGTGACCTAGCGCGTTGCCACATGGCGCTATTACGCAAAATCACTCCGTTTTTATTTCACCAAAAAAGCCGCCAAATGTATTTAGATGCTATATATGGTTTTGATAGGAAATTTGCTCAGCATTCCAACGGTGGGGTCAGATTTTCCGAAATGTTCCTTTTTATTGGAAAAACTTGACATGAACTTTAAAACGCAAATATCTCAAAAACGACTTTTTTACCATTAGAAAAATTTCATGTAGGATCCGCAAAATTTGTAAAGCGGAATCCTATAGGGCTCCTTTAGTAATCTAGCGGGAAATTTTTTCGAGGGTAAATTTTTTTTATTTTTTTAAATAGTTCCAATTGAAAGCTGAGGAAATTTTCTATCGACATGCACGTTTTCAGAGTGTGGAAATGATTATTTATTACTTATTAAAATACAACAAAGAACGTGTAAAACATGAGATTCTACGCCGAACCGAAATAAGGTTGCGTTTTTACACGCTCTTTGCGTAAATTTATTTCAATAAGTGATCATCATTACCACCCTCTGAAAACTTGCATAGGGCCCTTCCATAGAAGATAGAAAGATAGTCCAGAAATAAAATTTAAAATATTAAAAATCTTATTCAGGGTCATAGAAATCGCTTTCAAAAATGATAAATCATATCTGATAGTTGGGAAAAGTCGGATTTCTTGAAATACTAGTACTATAAGATGGTTTTAAACTTTTGTACAGATTGGTATAGCCACAGCCTTAATGGAAGGCTCGATCGATATCGATAGAAAATTTCCTCAGCTTTCGATCGGGATTATTCAAAAAATATTTAAAAATGCCATTTTGAAGATATTCGACTTTAAATTTTTTCCGACCAATTTCACCGGGAAAATTTTCGAAAATCTATGACCCCAGCACCGGGAAACTGAGTCAATTTCTAATCGAAACCATATGCCACATTTTTCCTCTAAATGCATTCAGGGGCTTTTCTGACGCGATAGACACAGAGTGATTTCTATTAATCACGCTGTGCGACGACGCGCTAGGATAGCGCTCGGTGTGAAATGCCTCATTTGCAGAAAAATTTTTTTTTGTCATTCGACTTCATTGAGAATATAATATACATATAATATATATAATTATGAATGGAAATGGGGTAGTGAGAAGTAGGACTGAGATGTTTCAATGTTTGTATATGCGGTTTTCGACTATCACATTTAAATGTATGATTGATCCGCGGGTGAACTGTGTATATCGACGCCATATTGTTTCTCTATATCTATCAAAGTTCAACGCCAAATAAGTGCTTTTGGCATGTGGCGTTACCCTCTATAAGCTATACGGATTCTGATACAGTAATTGAGAAATTTTTTTCACGGCTGACAGACTTATAATTATAAATCCAAGTAGATATGAATTTTTAAGGTTCTTGTTAACAACATACCACTGAAACAATCGGTTATTATGTAGTTTCTGTATCTGAAATTTTTAACTCCAATAAATTTATAAATTTTTGAAGTTAAATTACTTAGCATTGCAAACATGTTTAAATTCTATCAGCACATCAAACAACGTAAGTTTAGCATTATATTTCACGATAAAAAAAGACTCATTGAAAACTGGTTTTACAGAATCATTTGTTAAGAGAAAAGGAATTAGAGAAAACATTCAAAAAAAAGTATCAACATCGTCAAAAGTATTATCATCGATACCTAATAATGCAATGGATATTTTTGATAGAAAAACGAAGCTATTACAACGAGAACGAGCAGCATTAGCAACTGATGCCGATGTTTACGATTACATCAAAGATGAAATTGGTTTCAGATTATCAGATAGAGTATTTGATGTTAAACGAAAGTTTAAAAAAGCTTTAGATTTGGGTTGTGGTCGTGGACACTTATCAAAACATATTTTAAAAGAATCTGTAGAAGAGCTTATATTAGCAGATTTCAGCCCTAGTTGGCTAAAACAAGCTAAAACAAATGAAGGTATAAAAGTTGAAAAAAAAGTACTTGATGAAGAACATTTTGTTTTAGAATCAAATAGCATTGACTTTGTTGTTAGTTGTTTAAGCTTACATTGGGTTAATGACCTTCCTGGTAGTTTAAAGTGCATATTAAATTGTTTAAAAAAAGATGGAGTTTTTATGGCTGCAATATTTGGAGGAGATACTCTGTATGAGCTGCGGTAAATATTTTTGTAATTTTTTCATGCTTTTGTTCATCGTCAGTTATTTTAAATATTTGGGTAACTACTATATTTTTAGTGGATCAATGCAGTTAGGAGAAGTAGAAAGAGATGGTGGAATAGCACCACATATTTCCCCATTTACTGAAATCCGGGATATAGGTAGCCTAATGACCCAAGCAGGATTTACAATGATGACAATAGATACAGATGAATTAGTCATTGGATACCCATCAATGTTTGAGCTTCTATGGGATTTAAAAGGTATTACTTGATAATTGGTTTTTATTTTGTAGTTTTCAACTTCAATTTTTTAATAGGAATGGGTGAAAGTAATGCTGTTAAAAACAGAAAGTTACACATGAATAAAAATACCTTATTTGCTGCATCAGCAATTTATGATGAATTATATGGTAAGGTTGATAAAGTTGGAAAAAAATATATACCTGCTACCTTTCAAATAATATACATGATTGGATGGAAACCTGATGAATCACAACCAAAATCTCTAAGACCAGGATCTGGGCAAATATCGCTTAAAGATCTCAATAGGATTGATGAAATAATAAAAGAAAAAACTAAGACAAAATTATCTAAAAATGAAGAATGAGTAGGTAACATTGTTTTATATAATGTAAATACTTGCATAATATAGTAAATATAATTTATTTAGTTGGTGTAACAAAAAGTGTATTTCGTGAATATTATTCAGTGAATTTCCAACTTAAGTATTACTTTTATGTTTCACAACTCCTTTTTCTATAAGTTCTGGAATTTCAACTGCTAACCATGGTCCGAGCTAAAAATTGAACATTATATTTCTTAGTATTTTGGATGTTAAAAGTATTCAGAAATCAAAACAAAATGTTATATTACTCCTAGAGCCATGGCGTGTCCAATTCCAAATTTTGGAACATTTCTTGCCCAGAGAGGCTTGAAGTGATCAGTCAAACATATTTTTCCTCCTCTATACATTTTGGCTGTTTTTCCATCTAGTTCAGGTAGAGCTATTTCAGGTGCAGTAGTAGGATAGGTTATTGGAATCTATGAAAAGTAAAAAAGTAAAATTCAACCAACTTGCATTCATCATGGTTAAAGAGTCTAAGAAATTTACTTACATCAAACTCTATTTCAAACTCATACTTCAACAAGTTATGAACATACCAACATTTTCCAAACCATTTTGTACCTTGCTCATTAGATTGTAATCGAAACCAGTCATTATCTGCATTCTTATTATTTTCTACATACTGTAAAATAGAACAGACTAGTATTAATGAAATTTAATTTTTCTGATATGTTTATAAAACAATAGAAAAATCTCATAAAATAACGTAAGAAATTGAATTAAGTAAAACATGTTGATTATGAATTAATACCAAACACTTACTTTGATGAGAGATAAATATTCTTCTTTCAAACGCTGACCCCATAAATTGGAATCTCTAGGTCCAGCTTTTGTTTTAAGCAAGGGTATACTACTTAGAGTTTTTCTTGTAGATTCATCAACCATATTGATTTTTACAGACAACTTTTCTTTCAAATAAAGAATATAACATTCAAAATTTCCAAATGGTGTAAATATATATGTATAGAATACGAATTCTCACAAAACTGTGAAACATATGTCAACTGTCAAAAATCATGAATATGGCGAGGGAACACGATTAGCACAGGCTTTAGATCATTAAACAAAATATTAATTTTACTACGTTCTTTCATGAAACCAGCATTCTGTTAATGTAAAGACGTAGACGTAAAATTCATTTACTTTCTCTTTTGACGTTACTAAATTGAACAAGTTTCTTCGATATTCATATGATTTAATTATGCGATTTATTACGATAAAATCACTTATATAGGTGTACTGTTGGACAACGAACTACAAAGTTGAACGAACGCCGTCTGCTGTGCTGTGTGTACGAATTACAGTCTACAGAGGGCACTGGTCATTTTTATCGAAATACCTGCACAATCAGAATGTAAACAATTGACTTATGTAGAGTCGTAAACGCGTAAGACTCAAGTCGTAGGTGTCATATGACTGCCAATTGGAAGTTTTTACTGCAGCAACTTTCGGGAATACATGACACATCTTATTAGTCATTCATTGGTAGTATACACATGCCTACGCGAGTTAGATTAGAGTGTCAAGTTGCACATAGTTCAAAGTTGTTTTAAATGATTTTTTCGGAAGGTAAATTTTATCTTTTTTATTTGTTTGTTATTTAATTAAATTATATTCTACATAATGTAATAAAATTTTATCTTCATGCAGTAACTTTTCGACTACGTTGAATGGATTTTGATACTTATTTTTGAAGTAAACGCCGAATTCACATAATTCGCCTCTTAACTTCCAATAGTTCTTGGTGATCATCAAGTTAATTTATGTATTAGAGTGATAAATTAAAAAATGGGTCAACGCGTGTCCAGAACTGATTTTGAGTGGGTGTTTACCGAGGAACCGCACGCGAGTAGGCGAAAACAAATTTTAGGTTAGTTAAAAACAATGTGTCTCATCTTTCCTATTAAATAGTTAATTAATTTTATGTAAATTATACATAAATTGTGAATATTCCAATCAACTTCTATTTTTTCAGAAAAATACCCTCAAATCAAAAAATTATTTGGATATGATCCAAATTTCAAATGGGTTGTAACAGCTATGGTGCTTTTTCAATTGGCATCCATGTTTTTAGTTAAAGATTTAAGTTATCCTAAACTATTATTCTTAGCTTATTGTATCGGAGGTCCAATAAATCATTCTTTGATGCTTGGTGAGTATTTTCAACTTCTTTAAATTATTAACATTTAAAAAACTTTACTAAACACAACATTCTATAATTTATTGGACAAATAATCTTATTTCTTTAGAATAATTAAAAATATGACAATTTTT